TCATTGGACTGAACCATTCTTTGAATCCACCTCTCGAATGGCAGCCTCATCCGGGTACGAAGAGACCAGACTTTCCAACAGGGGCCCCTTGAGAGCCTACGGCGTCGCGTACTGGGCTGGCTGCACCAGCAGGTTGGCATGGCTGCAGTTGGATTTGCCTCGTCTCGTTTGGCATGCCGTCTCGTCTCGTATGCTGGGGCTATGTCCCTCGTGCGAGGAGGTTAGGCGAGCAGAGGATGCCAGCATGAATTTCTTCGGAGGTGACAATGACAAGGACTGGGAACACGATCACGAATGACTCTGCTTCCCTCCAGCCCTCCACATCCCGGGCGAGATTGATTACGAAAACTGCACAGGTTGAAGAAAAAGGTCGTTCAAGGAGCTAGCTCACTGCCGCACAAGGCGCGGGTACCGTAAGTATGCGTAGACAGCTCATCAACATCTTTACCCTCTGAATCCATACTGTGCCATGTTGTGTGATATATGTAAGGGGTGGTCGAGGCGATCTGTACGCTGCGCGCTGTGCTTCGATCAGGTGTTTCTTCGCCTTGTTGATGAAATAGATACCTGCAACTATACCCCGGCAGAGGCGGCTTGCGAAGTGCCTTTTTCTTTCGGTCCATCTCACCTTACTCGCGGTTCCTCTCTGGCCCCTACTCCACCCTTTCCCATCCTTGTGTTCAGCAAAAACGCCCAGCAGCTCGGTCTCGATCTCCCATCGAAGACGAATCCATGCCATCCCAAGCCGCAGACGGCCCAAAGCCATTTTGTCCGCCATGGCAACGCCAGTGAGCGCCCCCGCGCGCGCGCCCGCCTGCGTCGGCGGCAGGGAGGGACGTCGATTGTCATACCCCGCTTGCACCTTGTAGCATGTAGCATGTGTGTGTATGAGAAGCGAAAGGGAGACGACTTGGCATGAACGGGCTGAATCGCAATGTAAAGTAAAATGTACTGTGCAACTTGTGGAGGGTCCATCAAAGGGCCACGCCGGCCCGCGCAAGACCTTACCCCTAGACATGACCAGAAGTGACAATCGGGACAGATCAGGGGTCGAGGGAGCCAGACGGGGAGCCAGACGGGAGCCCGGACGATGCACATTTCCCAGTCCAGTCGGGGGTCAGGATGGAGCCCATGATCTCTGTTGTTTGGAGGCGTCAATCGATTCCAGTATGAAGGAAGGTGTGATTATCTTGACACTGAACACCACCGCGATCGTGAGCCAGTTTGTCTTGTCTTAGTCAGGCAGGGAAGCGGGTAGCCAGCCAGCCAGCCAGCCAGCGAGTGGGAAGGCCAGGCCGACCGTCTAGCGAAAGTGAAAAGTGGTTGCAGATAACGGGACAGTGC